CCAATGACACAGCTTCGAGACATCAGCACCAACAATATCGTGTCCTGCCTCTAACTCCCAGGGAGAACTGTCTATAATAATGGGACAATAATTCTTGTTGATGTAATGCCACCTTATCTATCTAATGCCCGACTGTAGAACATAAAATCTTGTAGTGAACAATTTTAAAATTAGCTGAAAAGCAAAAAGGAAAGCAAGTTCACTATTCTAAAGAAAAAAATTGGAATTGTCAGTGTGTGGGGGGAAGATAATAAAAGATAAGTGTTTTTGAGGGTATAAAGAGCTTGAAGCGAAAGGAACTTTCACATTGGTTTAAGAGATGCATTCAAGTAGTAAGACTCTCAAATGAGCCTAAGTCCTAAGCTATGACTGATGTTTTGGAATCATTATTAGAATTATTTCTTTATTCTATGGGACACAGCACCTACAATTTCAGGATTTGCTTCCAGACAGAATGTACTATAGCTCTTATGGAGGATCAGACTATGGCCGATTTAGATATTAGAATACCAAAACTATAGATCAATCTCTATAGGTAATATAGGACAAACACAGGAAGATTATCAGCACATTAAGAGTCCAGTTTGATTATTCCTCGATAATTATAAATCTTCATTTTTGTACAAATATTGAAAACGTTAAATCTGTGCTTTAGGGGCATTATCTCAATAACATGGCACATATTGAAGAACCACTGCCAGATAAAGCATATCCTTTAATTCAGTAGCCAATGCTTACTCTTTGCTTCAGAGAAATTATAGGAGCCAACTGGTCAAAAAACCTTATATGGTTAGAGCTAAGATAACAAGAATAATCACTTGGAGAAAAGGGGCACCAACATGATAAAGGAGCTCTAGCTTGTCCCTATAAATAATGAAAATGACTCCAGGGAAATGGGAGGTGCTCTGGGGCTGTTGGCCAACTTTGCAGACTGCGAGGTAAAAAGAGAAAGAGATAAACCAAAGAACAAAACCCATGGAAAGGTTAGAGAAAAGCAGTAACAAGGAACAGAAGGGGAGTGGGGGTGGTGAGTTTGAGGGAGATTGGTACCTATCCTGTCACCTATCCCTTGGAAAAGAGAAGAGGCCAGGGAGGTGGAGAGGGTCAAATCATTCTCCCAGGAACCCCAGCAGGCAGAGGTGCTTATCCCGGGACCTGGGCCTTCTAGTGGCCCAGGGCAGCCTGCAGACACAGCTGGATTGGGCATTCCCTCCCTGGAGAAGCGCCAGGTGAGTAAAACTAACTCACCATCAGAATGGTGGCCTGACACAATCTCTTCCTGCACTGGAAAACACGGCTGGTGTAACCTGAGGAGGGACACATATAGGGGAAAGCAAAGAAAAACCCATTTTTTGGTGAAGTCCATCATCCAGGGGCTAAGGGAAGAAGGCCAGAGGGTACCTCTTCTGTCCAGGAAATGCGTAAGTTCAGAGGGCTCAGCACAGCTCCTTTAGTTTGAAGAAGCGGAAGACTAGAAGCTGAGAGCAAGGAAGAGAAAAAAGGAAAGAGCTTCCTTTCAAACTGGTTTACACCTTAAAACTCAAGCAAGTGGCCCCTACACTCTTATCGCCCTGCTGGACTCCTATGGTGGGAAGCAGGGAGCTTTTAAGCCCATTCTAATTTAAGCCCAGCCTGGTTTATACCAACACCAGAATCAATTCCAGTTAGAAAATATATGATTCTTTTGTCTCTGCAGAGGGGAGCTCTTAAAAAAAAAAGAGTAAAAAGCAATTAAAATTACAAAGGAAAAGATCAATAGATGATTTCATGATAATTTAAAACTTCTATGAGAAAAATTAAGTTAAAGGGCCATCTAGAAAAAATATAGACAAATATGATAAAAATTAACATTCTATCACCCAAGTAGCTCATTTATATTAAAATGTCCAAAGACAATACATAAAAAAATGGGGAAAAGGTATAAACTGATCATTAACAAAGCAGAAATTCAAATGGCTAATAAAAGGGGAAAAAAGGCAGACTAAAGCATGTTGAATGAAGATAGGTAAATATTCTGATTAAAAAATTATAATTGCCTATGCTGGCCAGGGAATGGGAACATTAACTGAAGTTAGAAGTGTGAATCAATACAACCTCTTGGAAAGCAGTATATATCATTGACTCTGGAAAGTCATTATATAGCAAACCTTTGACCTGGTAATTCTAGGCTTTATCATAAGGAAATAAAAGATATAGACCATGTTCATTAGAGGTTATTTATAATTAGCAAAACAGAAATAACCTGAATGTCCAACAGTAAGAGGCTAAGTACATCCATATTACGAAGCCATTAATTTTATGATAAAAAGTATGTAATATGTTAAAAAGGTGATAAAATTGAATATACAATATACCAATTATATAGAAAAGTACAGAAAATAAGACTATAAGGGAAGATACCAGAAAATTAAGTGTTTAATTTCATGTTTTGTATTTTTCAGTATTTTCCACTCACTGGAGTATGACTATCACTATTACTGAAACCAAACCCAGTGAACTTGAGGCCTTGCCATGTCCTGACCATCTTTGGTGTAGCAGCTCCTCAAATCAGTCCTTTTGTGCCCCGGCTGCCGCTTCAGCCCTGAGTATACAGCTCCACCAAGGTCTGCAGCTTGGTCTGTTCCCATCTCTAGACTGATTCAGCAGGCCTGTTTCTATCTTGGAATCTTTTGGTCTAAACAGTCTCATGGACATACCAGAGTATTAACTCTGCATTAAATTGTGGAAAACTATATAATATGGTGAAAAAAAAAAGCAACTGTAGAAATCTGTCTACCAAATAACTAGCTTTGGTTTAAGGAATAAATAAGCAGTTAGCAATGCCTAATGAGGGACCAAATGTCATATGAATTATTCAGCACAGGGGTGCCCAAGCCACAGTTCACAGACTGTGACCGTCGGCAGCAGGCTAAGTACAGAAAGTGAGTAAGCAGTGGTTCGATGCTGCAACATCTTCTTTGTGTTTTAGAAAGTACCGGTCTCCAATGGAAAGAAGGGTAACCGACCCTTTACCACAGTTGGACACAATGACTAAAACGTTTCACCTCATTCATCTTACCCTGAACAAACCCAATTATAGGACATCAAAGAAAAAATGTTTACAGTAGCTTCTACGTTTGATTTCAGAGATACTGATCTTAATGCGAGAATGTTGTCTAGGCAGTTTACTTTTTGTACTTCTCTTCAAGTTTACAACTTCATGAATTAATAGTTTTATGAACTGGCCAGTTGGCTTTGCTGGTTTCTGCACATGCTTTTGGATCAAGGCCACCCTGTGTCTGTTGGCATCTGCTCCAGCCTTCTCCAAGGCCTCCCCATTTACCCTTCTCCTCAGCCTGGAAACATCCTTAAGTGATTCTCATACCAAAAAATATCTATTTCCCCCAGTTCTGTCACTTGTTGCTTTCTCTCCATCCCTTCACTGTCCTCAGTGATGACTACCACCTGGACTCTACTGTGGGCTCTCAACTGACTTCCGTGCCACCCAACAGCTGGCAGAATTATCTTCCTGAAACACGATCCGCCCGGGCTGCTCCTTAATTAAGGCTACTGGACAGCCCTCCACCACCAATGGGATGTCAAAGCTCCTTAACAGGACAAACAAGTTCTGTGACCCAATCTCTCCTAGCTTCCCCACACCATAGCCCAAGACTACCCATTTAACAATCCCAACTTTGCCTCTTAAAATCTAATAGCATTGAACATGCTACCATTAACTCAAGATCTCCTTTTGCTCCCTGTGTCTGGAATAACTTCTGCCTAGCTAACTTATTTATCCTCATCCTTTAAGACTTAGGGTCTTTTGTAGGAAGCTGTTCATGATCAGATCATTAACGTTTTGCCTGAGGTTAAGTGTCCCTCCTCTGTGCTCCTAATGGTATCCCGTCAATAAGAGTATCAGAGAGCTTACCATCCTTTGTTAAGTTTTCACGTTTGTCATTTAATCCTCCAGTGCAGGAACCTACACCTGGTACAAAGTGAATGCTCAAACATTTGTTGGCAGAAAGTCTAGATTCCAGATGGAGCCAAAATAGACTAAACTCTCAAATTCAGATGTTAGGCCTTGGTTTTTACAAAAACATGAATTCAAACTTATAGTACTGATACTGCTTGCTTTTATAGAGCTTTCTGAGGACTAATGGTGTGAAATGGGGAAAATGACCCTACTTGATTGGGCTTTCCTTGTGGCTCAGCCAGTAAACAATTCACCTGTGATGTGGGAGACCTGGGTTTGATCCCTGGGTTGCGAAGATCCCCTGGAGAAGGGAACAGCTACCCACGCCAATATTCTTGCCTGGAGAATTCCATGGAGAGGAGCCTGGTAGGCTACAATCCATGGGGTCGCAAATAGTCGGACACAACTGAGCGACTTTCACTTATTTAAATGATCAAAAATAAACTCCAAAATTGGAGATAAACAAATACTAGGATAGAAGCTTTTATTATCTATCCCTGACAGGACTGTAACAGACAAAAAAAAAGCCTAGAGGACTGATAAGTGTCCTTTTATCACTTATCGCTGATAATTTTATACTGAGATATAAGCGAGCATGTCTGCAGGTAACATTTAACTGGCACTTCTTTCTCATAAACTAACTTGATTCTGTCATGCTTGGTGTAATTCACTAGACCTAAAGTTAGGTGTTTTGGAAACTCTGATTTCCTGGTCACACAATTCATTCACTTTACAGAGCTCTGGAGCTTGTTGCGAGAGTATCACGATCCCTACTTTTCCTGTTCCTTCACAGATGAACCCACTGTTGAGGATACAGCTTCTCCTCCTGGTCAGCTCCAGATTCAGGGTTTTCACAGGCCAGTTTATTTTGTAGAGACACTGTCCAGAATCATCTTAGGTTTTGATAACTGGTCTAAAAAAAAAAAAAAATATATATATATATATATACTTTCCTTTCCCATGAGTAGCTCTTGAAAGTGTCCAATTCCTTGTAGAAACAGCATTTCACACCATGGCAAACTGTTACAGAAACAAGACATACCAGTACACCTAAGTCTTTATTTATTTGGCTCTAGGAGGAATTTGCATGAAAATGAGCCCATACGGCAAGTACAGCACCAGAGAGGTCCACCCTCTCTGCTCTACAGAGCCTCGTGTCTGATACACACATGTGACGTCAGTAATACAGCCAGACAGTCCAGGAAGACAGGAGCCCTTTAAGGGAAATTCAGGCCAGAGTGGCTTTTCAGATGGACCATTCTTTTTCATAGACTTAAATTCAAATAACAGATACATTCACAGGCCCAAATATTGGCATAGAATAAAATCATGTTCATTTATTTTTCTGCATCTTAGAATTTTAGAAAGCATAAAATTAAATACGTTGAATGTAATAAATTCATCCATACAAGTGCAAGTCTTCAGCTATAATGCATTTTATGGCAGATTTATCATTTAAAAAATGTACCAGTAAATCAAAAAAGAGGGAGTATGTCCATTTAACTTTTATTGAAGTGTACGGAGGAGGTCTTCAGAAATCAAATATGAGCATGAAGATATGGCCAAACATAAAATCTATCAAATTCAGTGAAAAGTTGCTGACTTTAAATAGTAGTTGTAAGAATGACCAATATATATTCTTTGTTAACAACCCTTCACTCTACAGTAAAAAAAAAAAAAGAAAACAAACATTCAGTAAACATTCTTTCCTAAGGTAGTTTCCCTTATATAATCAGTGATTTCTCCATTTCTTTGTATACACAAATTTGTTGAACATACCAATCAGTGGTTCTCACAATTGAAAAATAAAAGCACACAAAAGTTTACACTCTTGTACAGGTAAATAAAAGATCACCTTTGAATTAAACTGGATCTCCTTAAGGGTGTAGTATAGTTTCAGTTTCATTACCTATTACATAATTAGTTTCTTACATACAAATATTGACATATTTGGCTTGTGCTTCAAAGCCTTTGTGTCTATGATGTCCATGTCAACGCAGCTCATAATTTGAAGTCACTGGGGAGTTCTTTACTGCTGCTGGGTTTGACCTGATCATGCATTAGAGTCTCCTCAGCACCAGCTGTGGCACTGCACATCTCCGAGGAATCATCGGCATCAGGGTCCAAGCCTTCAGGACAGGGAAGTTTGAGCAGCTCTTCTCGGAGCTGAGCAGTGTGACGCTGTGCAGGGGAGAAGGAGTGATGTTAGAATTGCAAACCCTAGAATTCTAGCACAACATCACTGAAGGGAGGAAATCAGTTTAAAACAAAATCCTAAGAATTGGGTCTACCAATATTTATTGTGGATCTTCCTTAAGATAGCTACTCTAACAGGCAAGTGAACAAAACTGGCACAAACCTCTACCTCAAAATATCTGATGTTGCTGATAAGCCCTGAGTACCTGAGTAGCATGACCACAAACTCTACCAATGCCCCAACCTCTGTAACAGAAACTGCATTATTAATGGCTTAGAGGACACTGGTCATTTGCAATATATAGTTTCAAGTTAAAGAGGATATCTCAACTTGTGATACACGCTGCCTCTGACTAAATATTTTTGAGAAAAATAGTCCATAAATTAAAATAAACCCACTGCTATTTTAATGAATGAAAACAGTATTTCTCAGGTACTAGGCCTTATACAGAACGCTTGAAATGTTTCATACTCATCTCATGTCATGCTTGGAATATACCTTAGAGATAATTTCATCATCAGAATTTTTTAAAAAGTAAACAAATGAAAAAAATAGATCTAGAGAGAGTACCTAACTTTGTATTACCGTATACTGCCATGTATGGAAGGATATAGAGATGTTAATAGAGAATGGTTGGTTGTTTACAAACCTTAAGCTTTAGTTTATAACTTTCTAGTGGGAGATAGGAGAAGGCAACGGCACCCCACTCCAGTACTCTTGCCTGGAAAATTCCATGGACAGAGGAGCCTGGTGGGCTGCAGTCCATGGGGTCGCACAGAGTCGGACACGACTGAGTGACTTCCCTTTCACTTTCATGCGCTGGAGAAGGAAATGGCAGCCCACTCCAGTGTTCTTGCCTGGAGAGTCCCAGGGACGGGGCAGCCCTGTCTATGGGGTCGCACAAGGTCGGACACGACTGAAGTGACTTAGCAGCAGCAGTGAGAGACAAAGGATCTCAAATCTCACACTAAGGACTTTGAAAATTAGGCATGTCAATAGCTGACACTGAAAATTAACCAACATTCATAGAATAAGGCACTGTGTTCAACAGTAATAATGTAAAAAGCAATGAGTAAAATAAGGAAGATACAGCTGGACAGAGACCGACTATACAATGCCATTTCCTCTAAGGGACTTGTGCATCTGTGGATCTTGGTATTTGCAGGGGATCCTGGAACTAATCCCCCGTGGATACAGAGGACCAACTACATGATCTCTGACTTAAAAGAGCCTACATTCCAGCCAAATGTAATATGTATGCTTATTACATACATAAGCAAGATAAGACAACTATACATTTGCAGCCATTTGTAAGGCTTCAAGTATATTTACATACAGGCAACTTAAAATTTTTCTAGCCCCAATTTCCCTTCTACAGTGAGCAATAGGAGAAAACATTAACTAAAGAAGAAAAAACAAAAACAAAACAAAAAAAGAAGAAAAAACAAAATTGACATTTATGGAGGCCCAGTTAAGGTGGGAATATTACGCCTTTATTGTGAAATTAAACAGAGCAGCTGCATACTTTTCTCAATTAGCATTCAGCAGCAAAAGTATACCTCTGATGATGAAAATGTAGACTGATTCAGAGATAAAGATTTTTAAATCAGGATGACACAGAAACAAAAGACAATGAGAATCTGAGATAAAAGCAAGATACCAAAGCAGCAAAGCCAAAGACGCTGGACTTTAGCCACTGAGTTTTTGTGTCAGGGAAAGACATACTTAAACACACTTGGGAAGATACCGATCTGGTTATGTGCTGCAGAAAAAACCGTGAGGGTGGCAGTGAGAGGACAGGAAGACTGAGCTATGGGCACTGGAGACAAAAACGGGGAGGGAAATTCCTGTATGAAGGCAGCACTGACAGGACCCAGCACTGAACAGATGAGTGTGCTAGATGAAGGGGGTATAAATATACTCTGAAGATTTTAAGACAGAGGAAAGTGTTTAAAATTAAGTAAATACAGAAAGTTAGAAAGACAGGATATCCAAGTAATATGCCAGTAATATAACTTTGAGAAAGCTAAGAGCAGACAACTTTTCAAAGTTTGCACTAGAAAAAACAAGTGGAAAGACAGTCCACCGGTGAAAAGTACAGGGGGAACACAAACATTAGATCAGCGTTGTGAGTGTTTTTAGTAGGTAGGTACGATGTTACAAGAGATTATACTGAAATCATCCAATTTAAAAGTCAAGGCAGGTTCCATGAAGCACAGTTTAAGATGAAAACTGAATGGAAGTGAGCCAGCACAGAAGATGAAAAGCAACATCTGTAAGGCCTGAAGCAGGGATGAGTCTGGAGAGGGGAAGCCAGGGTCACTCAACTGGCTTTTAAGAACCAGAGAGTTGGTAACTTTCACAGAATGGAAATTCAACTGCAAAATGCTCTTTGGTGAGAGGGTCATTTAAAAACAGAGGCAAAGTATTAAGAGCTCAAGAACAGTGTGGAGATTTCTTAAAAAACTGGAAATAGAACTGCCATATGGCCCAGCAATCCCACTTCTGGGCATACACACCAAGGAAACCAGACCTGAAAGAGACATGTGCACCCCAATGTTCATCGAAGCACTGTTTATCATAGCCAGGACATGGAAGCAACCTAAATGCCCATCAGCAGATGAATGGATAAGGAAGCTATAGTACATACACACAATGGAATATTACTCAGTCATTAAAAAGAATTCATTTGAAACAGTTCTAATGAGATGGATGAAACTGGAGCCCATTATACAGAGTGAAGTAAGCCAGAAAGATAAAGACCAATACAGTATACTAACGCACATATATGGAATTTAGAAAGATGGGAACGATAACCCTATATGCAAAACAGAAAAAGAGACACAGATGTACTTTTGGACTCTGTGGGAGAAGGTGAGGATGGGATGTTTCGAGAGAACAGCATCAAAACATGTATATTATCAAGGGTGAAACAGATTACCAGCCCAGGTTGGATGCATGAGACAAGTGCTTGGGGCTGGTGCACTGGGAAGACCCAGAGGGATGGGGTGGACAGAGAGGCGGGAGGGGGGATCGGAATGGGGAACACATGTAAATCCATGGCTGACTCATGTCAATGTATGGCAAAAACCACTACAATATTGTAAAGTAATTAGCCTCCAACTAATAAAAAATAAATGGGGGGAAAAAAGTATAAAAGAGCTCTAGTTTGGTAGTAAAAAGGCAAAAACATTTTTATAAATGGGGCAAGATAAAACTATCTTAGGAAGATGCAGATGTTAAGGAGAAAAAGTTTTCTTTTTAAAGGTTTTTATATAAAATGGAAAATCTCAAACATACACAGAAGTAGGCAGAATATAAAATAAAACTCCTATGAGTCTACTTCAACATGTATCAACTCATGGCTAGTCTTCCTTCATCTATATTCCCACCACTTTTCTTGTTTTATTTTGAAGCAAGCCTCAGATATCACATGGTTTTACATTCATAAATATTTCCGTGTGTAACCTGAAGAAACATGAATATTTTAAAAATCCACCAACAAAAAACTAATAAGCCCTTATCATGACCATCATGTAATCATTTTAAGTGAAGACACTTTTAAAGCTAGAAGGAAAGGAGCCAGTAGAGATAACCATAATCAACGGAGAATAAAAGGAGAGGCGAGCAGACATCCCACAGCCGGGGAGAAAGAGTGGCTGCTGAAGCTACGGTTCCCACATTCAAACAAAGAAAAAAACACTCACTCCCAAACCATCGTGTTCTACGTTTCCATTCTGTGAACACCCAAGTTGAAATCAACAGCTCACTTCCTCCCAAACAGATCTGTATCGCAGACACTAACTACCACACCCATCGGCAGTCAGGGGCCCACCATCTCCCTCAGTCCTCCAAGTATCACAGTTCTGCAAAGAGGCCCAGAGGAGCACAGTGCAGTATCTCGCCATCATCTTCAAACAACTCTATGAAGTACTGGCTCAGTTCCTAGACTCATTTTTAATTTAAGGAACTGTCAATTCATTATCAAAAGGACTGTATCTTTTCTGTGGACTGTGGGGAGCCTCTGAACTTAATACATGTAACGTTTCTTGCTAGTGGTCACAGTTCTGTCAGGAACATACGCCTCCTCCTTTAGAGCTGCCGGCAAGGCTCCCGGGAGGGCGGGTGACTTACCTTGAGAGCCGCCGCGTGGTGAGACATGGTCCTGCCCACCCGCTTGTCGCTGCTGTATTGCTGGACGTCGGCGATCCACTCCTCACACTGCGCCATGATCTCCACTCTCTTCAAGTAAAAGTGTTTGTGTATAACCTTGAGAGTAAACACCGCCGGAGGACAAAAGGTGACCAGGTCAGAATTTACAAGACAACATATGTGGCATTACAAAGAAATAAAGTTTAAAAGATACAGCAATTTTTTTTTTTTTGTCTCCAAAGACTCAGTGTGGTGAACTGTACATTGTTATTAACAACGGGGAAGAACCAGGATTAGAGCATCAGATGACGTATGTTGATACAGCCAGGTTCTAGAGCAAAAAGCAATGTCCTATCCCATTCAGACATTTCATTAGTTAATCTTATCCAGAGAACGTAAAATATCTAGAACACAACAGAATCAGAAGTAAATGTAAATAAATGAATAACTAGGAGAAAAAGTACTGAAAACAGAAAAACTGTCAATTTCTATCTTTCAAAGAGAACTCAAACAACATTGGGATGGGTAAAGAGATTCTAAATCACAGGTATTTGCATAAAAATCAGTACCCAGCCCTAAAACAGGCACTATTAATTTTGCCTTCTGGATAACTTATGAACAAGATTTTATCTTATGAAGCTTATCTCCATGTGATAAATATACTTTACATTTCAACTTTTTAAACTTCTCTCTTTGGAAAACTAAAATTTCTGTGTGGGTAATAAAAGTCTGTTTTTGACAAATTTAAGCTAGAAAATAGGTCATTTGGGAATTATTATTCTGTATTCTGAGCTACTTACTACACTGCCCAATGAGCTTGTCTCCCCTAAAGAAAAGACAACACTTACAACGGAAAAATCATCAGGAAAGCCTGGGAATGGATGTTATTAAACTCACCCAGTAAGTTATTGAGTTTGATGCGTACAAGGATACAAAATGAGTAAGAAACAACCTAACATGAAGAACCACGATAAGCACAGAACAACATTCAATGAATAGACTGAATGTAGTCTGTGAGTACAGAGAGGGCAATGGCACCCCACTCCAGTACTCTTGCTTGGAAAATACCATGGACGGAGGAGCCTGGTGGGCTGCAGTCCATGGGGTCACGAACAGTCAGACACGACTGAGCGACTTCACTTTCCCTTTTCACTTTCATGCATTGGAGAAGGCAATGGCAGCCCACTCCAGTGTTCTTGCCTGGAGAATCCAGGGACGGGGGAGCCTGGTGGGCTGCCATCTATGGGGTCACACAGAGTCGGACACGACTGAAGCGACTTGGCAGCAGCAGCAGCATGTGAGTAAAAGAACGAAGCCACAAGTAGCTGAGGTGTGGGGTTTAAATGCTGCTTTTACTGAAAGAAGGAAGGAAGAGTCGAAGTGCAGTTTTACAGTGTTTAGGTTTGAGGTGGTGATTACATACTCTAGTAGAGCTGTCAAGTAGTTTATGTATCTGGATACATTGAGTCTTAAGGACAATGAGAAATTATTTTATGATACAAACAGGAGCAATGTTAACTTTTTCATGGGAAGGAACTGAGTTTTGTTTTTCCTTGGGTTCAGAGTACCTTAGTGCAATACCTAGATATTGCTTATGAAATGAGTTACTTAATGTAAGTTACCCAAGCTTGAAAAGGGACAGAACACTATGCTTCAGAGTATAAAGAAATGCATGTTTGTTATTTCCTGTAATATTAGGAAAAGTAATAATTATCCACAGCCTTGAATACAAGCCTTTGCAAAAATAAAATATCCAACTTTGTCATTCAAAGTGAAAAATCATTTAGTATTAACAAAAGGAAGAAACGTTTTTATACTCCTTCAATAGATTCAATGATGCCACTTTTTAACTTCGTATATATAGCTACATAGTAATAACAATATTTGCTTAACAAAATTAACAGTCAATTTAAAAATATTATAAGGTCTTTAAAGATTTTAAATATCTTTAAAGATACTAAAGATCAATTTTCTGTCAGGTAAATATGCCAATTTTTCCTCTAAAGTATTGTAGTTTCTAGTACAATCTAAGAACAAAAATGTTTCATGACAGAGTTATAGTGTTAAGATATGATGAAGTAATCTGATATGACAAGTGAAAAATAAAATCATATTTTAGGCAGACTAAAGAGAGGTAACTAAGCCCAGGAAAAGAGCCACACTTCAGGATGTGGTAGAATAAAAGCATGTCACAGTATCAAGACAGGTTTCAGAAAGTAATCCAACTTTTTCCTAAAGAAAAGAAAACTATCTTTTTCTTCAATGCTGACTCACAGATACTAGTATAAGGGCAAAGTTTCTACATGCAAGATAACTACTGAAGTATCTCACTGCTGCTGCTGTTTAGCTGCTAAGTCGCGTCCGACTCCATGCCACCCCAAGGACTGTAGCCCACCAGGCTCCACTGTCCATGGGATTTCCCAGGCAAGAATACAGGAGTGGGTTGCCATTTCCTTCTCCAAGGAAAATATCTTAACCTCTAATAATAATATTAAAAAACCAAACTATTTTTATGAGGACTATTTTAGTAACATATTCTAGCATTTATTAACATAACTGGCACAGACATTATGCTAGTAGAATGGTAGCCATGAAAAGTAAAGAATTAATAAAACTGTTCAAAAATATAGTCAGATGTCTTTTAGGAAGTAATGGTTTAAAAAATTCATCTGTACTATACTACTACTGATTTTTAATGATTAAAGACGAGTATATTACACCACAGATACTCTAAATATAAATGCAAGTATAACACTAATAAACTATATTCTATAGTGTCTTAAAAAAAGTGTTTCATTAATTTCATTGAACATACTTCTTTAAAACACGGTGAAGGGTTTCTGATTTGTTCCAGCATCGCCCACTTAACCGTTGCTTGTCGAATGTTGCCATCATATTCTCGAGAACTCTGCGTGCCACTGGGAGTGCCTCTAGACCGTTCATATCCTGGTTCATTAAAATAAGGCTCCGCTACTAATATAAGGGACTGAACAGACACCAACACCTGAAACAAAGAAACAAAAACCAGTTATGACAGGACATTTTTACTACCAGGGAACTAATACCTTGCTTCATCAACTAGGAGTCCCTTTGAGTAAGTGCTTCCACATAATTTTATCACCATAAAGTTGATGGTAATAACTGACACTGAAATACTTTATTAAAGCAAAGGTACAGCTGAATCTTATATAATATTTATATATCCTATGTTTTACATTCTTGAAGCCTTGAAAAACAAAAATAGGTATAAATATCTTTCCTAAAAGACCCTAAAAGATCTTTCCTAAAACTACAGAAAAAACACTTGCTTATAAACATCTCATATCAATGTAGACATCATTTTGCTCAAATTGTCCTAAAAGAGCATGACACTAACAATGTACTCTTAACAATACTCACTTGTAAGGAAAACTACATGAGGCTGTCTCTACTTTAATTCCAAGGAAAATTAACTTTCACAATATCACAAAAATCTTCTTACTAGACCCTTCACTGGCAAGATGATATGGTTCTAAGACCACTTCTGATCCCCTACTTATACACCGGGTTGGTTTTTCTAGATATAATCAATACTGAGAGGTCATTCTTATTAATATAGTATTGCTTGCTAATATATAACAAGCTAATATGACATCTTTGAAGGCAGGAAAATATTAGCTACAATCTGCCCACTTCATAAATTAAAAAGGATTAACAATATTTTCACTGGGAAAGATGATTAAGCAAAGTCAAGGATATGTACCTTAGAAAAGGGGTAGATTTTCCTAAAATAAAAACTGTTAAAAATTGGAAACTTGAACCTGAAATATATGACTTATGAATAGATAAGGTGAAATATGACCTGAAGTAACCATGTTATTGAGGTCAAAGTCAACTATAGACAAAATATTTAATGTGTATTAATTCTGAGGCAAAGATCTCATAATTTTTTAAACTTACTGAAATTAAATATATTAGTGAAAGAAAGTGATTTCCCTTGGCTATATACTTCCCCTCAACTCAAATCTGATACTTCTGAAATAATCTTCCAGGGGATATTTACTATTTCCTTTCCTCTTCCCTTTTAAATAACCTTCCTCTTATATAAGTAGGGTATATCCTCATTTTCTACAAAAGCAGAGAAAGAAATTTTGTAACATGGGATTCAGTTACTTACTTAACCTCACATTCTTTGAGACAAAATACAGTTTTATAAACTCAGGCAGCTGCAGATTCAAACAATTTATAAACTACTTCAGATTCATACCACATTTGTTTTTTTTTAAATAGCTAAACTATATAAAGGAAATGAAAAAAAATAGATGTTTTGTGTATAGAACAAAGAAAACTATAGATATAAAACTAGAGATATAAATTTGAGTATAACATTTTCTGCTAAAAAACTGAATTATAACATTTGCATTTGATAACACATTAGCAGAGATCAGTATTTCTGGAATTAAATTCAAAGAGTAATTGATAACATGTGTTCTTTTATCCCTGGGTGACATTATCTACTTTTAATGGGCATCTTCTATTCACTTTTTTTTAACATATACCTATACATATACATATACATAAATGCTGCTTCATTTTTCTTCAGTGAAACAAGCTATTTAGGAGTCAAAAGATTCATTTTATGGAATTTCTGAAGTCTTGAATTATCTGACATATTTGCTCATTTTAAATCACAGCACACTTTACTGTAGCCCAAAAAACACTCCCATGAAAAACCAGTAATAAATCTTTGAGAAGGATTTCTCTTTTTTAAAAGGGTTTGATTTTCAGTATTTGAAATTAATGATTCACCTAACTCCGAGAAACACTATGCTATGAAGTGAGAGAGACCAAGACAGGCAGAATAACTTCATCCCCTCAGAATCCATATTTTGGTCATATGTAAAATAGAAACCATACCTACTTACATCGTAGGATGCCTGTGAGAACTAAATGAGGTGTCAAGGGGTATAAAACAGTAGGACTCATAAGTAAGTGTAATTAATACACAATAGCTATTCTTTCTTGGAGTAAAAATGACACCATGCATCCAGAGGACAGCAAAACACGAAACAAAATCACTCTTACTCTAAAAACAATGTATTTTAACTTATGGGTGTGCAAAAAGGAGTCAGCATGAGCTCCATTTTGATCAACAAAACTTAAGAGCTTCCTGGATTAAACCAAAAAACAAACAAACCAAAGAATACCCAATATTCATCATAGCTGTATCTGGCTGAAGTGCTTTCTTAGAATGAGTCATTAATTAGCAGAAAAACATCTACTAGATAACATATTATGTACATAAGTTATACTAAAGTTAACCTAATAATAAACAGAATATATTTTCATTCCATAGTGTAAGTTCACTGATTTTTAGTCAGTCCTCTGACATTTTCATGAAGTCAAGAGTAAAAAAAAAAACTTTTATTCACAGGCTCAATTCACTGTCCCTCTCCTCTAGCTTTATGTTAGTATCTACAAAATTGCAAGATGTTCTCATTATAATTTATTCAGAGGCTGACTAAATCAAGAATCATATAACAGCTTTCTTTCATTAACCGTGTCTAGCAAAAATTTTAACCTTGCTCTAACACCTGCTATTAGGCCATCAACCAGTCAGCAATCTTGTCTTCTATCAATGCCTTTATTTTCAAATTATATCATGGCAGAAGAAGTCTTAGTTAAAATGCTTTAGCTTTTCAAAATAGCAAGTACCCTCCTCTATGGAAAATTATGCTGCTACTGGGTAGGACTATAATCAGTGGGTGATTTCCAGAACTTTCAATTTTAAGAAAAATGTTAGGATTTATACATTATTATATTATACATAGGTTTATGAATGGTTGATTATGTGACATTAAGTATGTTTATTCTTGCATGACATCTTTATTAACATCCAACTGTAACAAATTATTTATAAGACATTAATATACATTTTAGGTATATTATAGCAACAGTAAAAACCAGTCACATAAGCAACTGTAGAATTTGGTGTTATTGATAAAATGTAGTAATTCTTGATGATAGTTCTAATGAATAATATGACTTTTGACTTTAAATTATGCAAATAATCAAGACTATTACTAGGTTACTGCTGGATATGAGACCTATGACATAACACTACAAAATTTTATATTTTTACACAAATAAACTCTTCTTTTAAGAGTCTCATTACAAAGAAACTAAGCAATTCTAATAATGTTTGTCACTGTTCCAAATATTTTGGAAATCTTTTAAATTGCATATAACCTTCAGAAGTTTTTGAGGATGATTTTTAATCTGGCAAAAGTACTTTTATGGGTACAAACAAAAGAGTAAAACAGTAATTGTGGGTCCCAAAATCTAAATAAAAAGAAATTACTTTTTCCTGAGGCTCTGTAGTCTGACTCTGAAGAAAGTTTCTAACAGAGAACAAGGGGCAATGCATTCCTGAATAGATGTATTTATTTCTAGTTTATAAAGCAGTATGACACACCAAAAAACCCTACAAACCAATGTGTCTTAGAAATATGGGTACAAAAATCCTCAAGCAAAATGCTAGCAAACTGGGCCTTTCCCTGGCAGTCCAGCATTTTCAATGCCTGGGCTGAGGTTCAGTACCTGGTAGGGGATCTAAGATCCCACAAGCTGCCCGACACAGACAGAAAGAAAAGGAAAGGAACTAGTGAATTGAATCCAATTACATACAAAAAGAATCACACATCATGACCAACTAACTGAGCTTTATCCTAGGAGAGCAAGATTGATTCATTAAAAAAAAAAAACAACACATCATATTAATAGAATAAAAATTTAAAAAACACAATCATTTCAACAGATGCAAAAAAAGCATTTGACAAAATCCAGCATCTGTTCATTATAAAAATACTCAAGGAAATAGGAGAAGGGAACGTCCTCACATGACAAAGGAAATATATGAAAAACCCACAGCTATGATCACACTCAATGGGGAAAGACTGAAAGTTTCCCCTAAGGTCTGGAGAAGACAAGGCTATTCACTCTTGCCACAAAAAATGTATAGCCTCTCTTACTCTTGCTCAAGTCAATTTTGTCACAGATCTGGAAATCAGTATTTAGTAAGCCATCTAAAGTATAGGGAAAGTGATATAACAACGGTATTATCCGTAAAACGGAAATAATTATAGTGAAAGTTAGTAAAAAATGGAGAAATAGTTCAATTATATAAGAACTCAAAAGATTATTACAGAGCAATTAGAAATTATAAAAATATAAGCCAGAAATATGGATATGCTCTAGTGTTAGGTGAACAAAGAGGTACACAAATAATTATCTACTATGTTAGATAGAAAAGGCAAAGGAATCAGAGATCAAATTGCCAACATCCACTGGATCATCGAAAAAGCAAGGTATTTCCAGAGAAACATCTATTTCGGTTTTACTGACTATGCCAAAGCCTTTGACTGTGTGGATCACAATAAACTGTGGAAAATTCTGAAAGAGATGGGAATACCAGACCACCTGACCTGCCTCTTGAGAAACCTGTATGCAGGTCAGGAAGCAACAGTTAGAACAGGACATGGAACAACAGACTGGTTCCAAATAGGGAAAGGAGTATGTCAAGGCTGTATNTGGTTGGATGGCATCACCAACTCAATGGACATGGGTTTGGGTGAACTCTGGGAGTTGGTGATGGACAGGGAGGCCTGGCGTGCTGTGATTCATGGGGTCACAAAGAGTCAGAAATGACTGAGCGACTGAACTGAAGTGAATATTAATTATAACTATGTGTAAGACAAAAAGCTCTAAAGAGAAAACACAGAGGAGATAGTTATTTATGTGATGGTAGTAAGTTTCCAAAATTGTAAAATTTAAATGCTTCTGAGTAAGCTTCCTTATCTCCCAGGATTTTTGGTATATACTTGACATACAGGCAATAAAAAAGTTAAAAGGAAATACAATTTTTTCCTTTTTTTTCTGGCCATGTCCCATGGCCTATATGCTTGTGGTCCCCCAACCAGGGATTGAATCTGTGCTCCCAGCACTGCAAGCATAATGTTAGCCACTGGACTGCCAGGGAAGTCCCAGCAAATACAATTTTAAACTAAGAAAATCTGAAGATTAATTGTAAATTTATTTTTAAAACTACATAAACTCAACAAAAAATTCAAAAATTGATTCCAATTCTCAGGTATAAGTCATTAAAAATAGGCTATCTCTTAGTTTCCTTACAGAGTAAAACTCGTCATAAAAACAGCTTCTGTTGATAAGAGTAACATACATGTAGAAAAATATTTTAAACTTTTTGAACATATCACTTTTTATCTTTTTTAATTGAAGTTCTGTTTATTTACTGTATTGTGTTAGTTTCTGGTATACAGCAAAAGTGAATATATATATATATATATATATTCATTTTCATATTCTTTTCCATTATAGGTTACTACAAAATAATGAATATAGAGCCCTGCACTATACAGTGGGACCCTGTTGTTTATCTATTTTATATATAGTAGTTTGTAGCTGCTAATCCAAAACTCCTAATTTATACCTCCCCCTACATAATCATTTCTAAAATGAAGAAGCAGGTACTTGGAGAAATATTCTAACTTTAGTTACTTTGAATGAATCACACAATCTCTCTTTTTCTTGGATCTCCGAATAGCAAAAGGAAAATAAATTTATATTACAGTACTATTTCTTTAATTCATGAGAATGCTGCAAGGTCTTTTCAGAAAATCTAAAAGAGTCACATCCTAAAGAATGATCTTTCATATTTCTTTTATCAAATACAAGGTAAGAATTAGGAAAAGAATCCTTTCAAGGTAGGTCAACTTTAATAGGCTTACCTACGGATAATTTATGGTTGTCTTTCTTAAACACTAAACTGTAAATGTGGTTAAACTATTACGGAGCAACAGTGATTTGTTTCTGTTACCTTAAGGATTAAGCAACATAGTTAATTCCTATCATTAACATGTCTGTCTCTTTGTTGGAATTCTGAACTATTAAGACAAAGCACTGGCCAAAAAAGATTTGATGGGATAGTATTAATATAGAACATTTTATTTTATGTAGTCCAGTGTCTTGTGAAAATTAACCTAGTAAATTTCAAGGCAATGAAATACATGTGTTAAGTGCTCTGCAAAATAAGAATGGCAAATCTCAAGATTTATGAATTCTTGGACAGTACTTAAATCTCAGATGAGTCCCATTATTAACTAGATTATAGAAGAATCATATCATGGGTGGAGAGATATGTAATACTAATAGTTATTAAATTCTACTCACCTGAGATTGAGCCAGAAGGGACTGCCTGGGAGATGGGAGAGGCTCACATGACTTATCTGATCCTGTTGCACCTGAGTGTACTTTAAGGCAAGTCAGGGAATTTTTTAACAGGGAATTTTGACAAAAAGAAAATTTTAATGTCTAACTTAAGAATCTCAACTCCAAATGAGATATAATTCCATTGTACTAATTGCTTACCTATAAGCTATTTCATATGTACTTTCTATCAATCTACATTTTTATTTTTAATGATTTACTATGTTTATTCTTGGTCACTAAAAAAAAGTTCTGAAACATAGATGGTTCTTATTTTCTTTTTTTTTTTTTTTCACTAAAAAAAAGTTTTGAAAGTTCTGAAACATAGATGGTTCTTATTTTCTTTTTTTTTTGGTTCTTTATTTTCTAAGTGAAACTGTAAGAGAAATTTGTTTACTTGCAAAAAGCTTGAGGTCTGAGGATTCCACTTCTCTTCTGGTCTTCCATGCCATGTATTTAAGATGCTTAAACAAACCTGAGAAAGAAGGGGGAAAAGTTATAAACAGAATTGAAAGGAATGCTTTTTAAAAGTAAATATCCAGAACTAGGAATAAAATTGAAATGCTACTATGTCCAAGTATCTGAATTTTATAGCCCCAAACGAAACCCTAAGGTTAGGTCTGTTAAAACAAAGTTATATCTTCAAATGTGATCAAAATTTATGTGGCATTACAATTTCTTCATTAATGAAAAATGAATTAGCAGTTATTACAGATTAATACAAGTAACATTTTTTTAATGAAGACTCTTTTCCAAACAACAACATCATCAACAACAAAATTCTTGCTGAGGAAAAGTGATATTATTTTACATTTAAAATCTCTTTAAAAATTTTGAAATGGGATATAGCTTAATAGAAAAGATATTGATTTTATATCTGCCTCTACATTCCATTTGTTGTAATATATTGTTTTGGCTGAAATGCCTGACTAAAATCTGGCCTCACAGAAGCATGAAGTAGGAAAAGGGAGGACCCTGCAGATGCCTTGAAATGATCTTGAGGATCCCCAGAGTGCCTCAGAACAAATTTGAAGACACTAGTTAACTTGTTCACTTATAGAGCAAGAATGAACTCAAAGCATCTGCCAAACACAGGTCAATATTTACCCGAGGAAAAAAGAGAACCTGGGGCATGTTATCTGCACTTGCAAACTAACAATTTTGTGCAGTGGGCAACAAATTTGGAATATAAGCAGTCTTTAAAAAAGCAGAAATCCATCTCCTTGCTATTCTTTCAATGCTCTGTGAGAATAACAATGCAAAATACATTAATTCGTTTAGTAAATTCACTAATAATTTTAAAAGATGTGCATACGAACAGCTTTGGGAATTATCATTGAAAGCACCATCACACATATCACGCCACCTGGAATCTTAAGTCCTTAACCTGTTACCTATACCAGTAATTCTTAAGGAAGTATTAATAATTTCTTAAATAATACTTAACATTTACACTTAAACTCTACTTAAGTTCCGATCTCTCCCTTGAATAAAGTCAACATTGCTATTTCGTCTACTTTGCTCAGGTATAAAAGACTTGTTATTTGCTTTCTCAAAGTAGGGTCTACCTCTAGTTAAGTATCCTATAATAAAACCAGAAAATGAATTCCAACTTTGTGATTTGGGCATATGGTGAATACAAAATGATAACTTGTAAGCACAGATTTGAGACAAGCTGCACCTTTTAAAAAGAGGAAGGCAAAACCAAGGGAAAACTTGGGCCATCTCTAATAAACCAGATCAACTTCACACATCTGCTATTCTGATATCAGCAAAGAAGTTGTCTACTTGTGAAGTTGAGAAATTGCTTCTGACCTTTGAGTAATTTTGAAACATTGAATACACTCAGTATAGAATTTACTACCGAAATTTCATCAAACCAAAGTTACTTTGAAAAGTGATTATTCTTTTAAATCTCATTTTTAAGGTTTATCGTCATATGAAATGATTTTTATTATACCTCGTTTATATTTTATTACACATTTTGGGGGGGCAGGGATAGGAATCAATTTTTCTATTTATAAGAAAATATAAAAAATTTTAACACAAATCAGACTTAATGGTATATATCAGAAAACATGGATAGTATCTTTAGGCACTTGTGAAAAGGTAACTAGAACTAAAGATACAGAAAGTAAAGAAAGGTGAGTGGCAAAGACAGACATCTGGCTCTACTATTTTCTGAGCGCAAACAGCACTCAACTGACCAAGGAAGGTGCTGAGTAAGCCAGTCCCTCACAATAACTCCTTAAAACTGGAAGTGGTTTGTAACACCATTGTGCTTCTGCCCTATCCGGTTCTTCCTCTCTCAATCCTGAGGCTGATTTTTGATTACAGGGAAGAGAAACATGAAGAAACTCATGTGTTTTGAAGGGAAGATGACTAAAGCAAAATTTCAGCTCAAATTACAAAGAACCTTTGGGTTACAATACTTTGGCATTAAAAACAAAGGACTTCAATTACGTTACCTTGCCATCATTATAAAGGTTTGGATTGAATCGCACACTATGACCACCAGTCGTCTCTAGATTCACAAGAGGGGGTGAACTGGGATAATCTTGAGGAAAATATACATCAAACTCAAAGCAGCCATTTGCATAAGGAGTGTCCGCAGGACCAGTTATCAGAACCTAGTATGCACATACAAATACAAAAGCCTATGTTACTATTTTTAAATATTGTTATTTAAAAAAACAACTCAAAATAATAATCTTCTTAAATCCTATATACATCTCAATCAAAATGTGCTAAAAATAAAGTAAAAGTTAAAAACACAGGAATAGGAAACGGTTTTAAATTATGATTAAACTGATTTTGTTTTGGTGAAAACGGGCTTTTAAAAGAGAAATGCCCAACTGCCAACAGGAAAGCTTACCTGAACAGCAAATACCTTTTAAAATATTAAGTTACCTTTTTTCCTAAGAGCTTTATGATGATCTCTACAGTACTGTCAACAACTTGAGACTCTAATACATCATTATCTCAAATGTATGAGAGTAACTTTCTGTTTCAAATCATCAAGTTAATGTTTTGAGAAATAACTCACTTTTAAATATTATCTTCTGGGATAATGAGACAAACAGGTAACACAAATAAAATTCTCACGTAACAACGAATGACCAAAGGTTCTGAGAGAACAATAGGTGTGGCCCTTAGGGCTGTGTGTGTGTGGGTATGCACACGTGTGCGCTCAGTCATGTCCGACTCTTTGTAACCCCAGGGACTGTAGCCTGCCAGGTTCCTCTGTCCGTGGGATTTTCCAGGGAAGAATATGGAGTGGGCTGCTATTTCCTTCTCCAGGGGATCTGCCCGATCCAGGGATTGAATCCACATCTCCCGCATTGGCAGGCAGATTTTCTACCACTGTGCCACCTGGGAAGCCTTCCCTTGGGGTTATTGGTAGTCTAAAAAACCCAATAGTGACTATCAGAATTATTTAATGAATTATGTTTGAATCAACAGATATTTAGTGTACAAGACGCAAGCAGCAAAGCCTCGGGTCCTGAAGGCAAGTGGTACTACAGTCTCAATCTGTTTCAACTCTGATTTATGTTTTGTGGATTCAATTTGGGGTTCTTTATGTTAGGTGCAGCATAATAACAAAGTCACAAGTCTGAATTTATGTGGGCCACTTAGAGATAAAATACTTCCCTAGGTAATCATCTAATAATTGGCTCCACTGTTTGTAACAAGGAAAAGTGTGGTCAATAAGCAAGGTCTGTGAGATTTCTACTGAAATGTTATCCAAAAAAAAGCAAGCAAGCAAAAAGTTTTCTCAAATCAATGGATCAATAGTTTCAGCTGTGTATCTAAGGAAGCCAGACTAATCCATTAGTTAAATGATGTAAAGAAAGGTTCCTCCCACCCCAGGGATCAAAGCTTTGAAAGTTACTTGCTGCAGCATCTCTTGGAATTTGAGGTCATATCACCAGTGTTAAAACATAAATCTGAAGGTTTTATTTATTATTGTACTACCACTACTTACATCATAGATCACAGGAATCCGTAAATACATTAAATTACATTACCTAGAAAACAAAAAAAACCCTGAAGACTGATAAAACCTGATAGAAGTATTTTGGATTGTAAGGAAGAAATCCTGTGACTTTTTCCCTACTGATCAGTATTAAATCCTTTGATAATGTGCTCTAAAACTATGACAGGCTGTATACAGCCTTTGTTCAGGGTAGGTATTTCTAGATTTTTTTTTTTTTTGAATGGTACTTGGTACACTCATTCACATACTGTGAACTAACATTAGAAAAAGACTTCCTTTATTGATATCCAAAACAGTCAACAGAATTTTTATTAAATGTATTAAAACTTCGTGCTATTTCTAGTAGTATTTTATATGAATATCTGAATAACTGGATTAGCCAGAGAAATAAGAAAAAGCTGCTTTTCCTACCTTCATGATGTCAAGCCGCTCCTCATCACAGCGCACAAACACACTGGAGGATGACGACAGAGGCAGTGAGGTTGACAGCGTCACAGCTTCTTGTGCAAGGCGGCGGGCTCGAGCAGCACTGTTGGCATCGTTCGCATTTTTCACCTGAGACATGTAGTGGTAGTTGACTTTAAAACCCAACTTCCCATCTTCATCTTCAGAAACCATCTCAAATGTATCTAAAAGAAGAAAAAGGAAAAAAAAAAACCACTGAAAAAAAAAGAGAACCAGAATGGAGGATAGCTGTTATAATATCAAAAGTCACAAATAAATAAATCACTAACCCTTCTTCACCCAAAATGGAGAGACTGCAACGTGGAAGAAGGGCAAACTTATCAGTGTTTATGTAACGCCTACATACGTGTGTTAATGCTGCTAGATGGATAGAATATATCATGGAAGCAAAGGCAGAAATAATTTTTAATTTGCAGTTTAGACATGTAGGTAGATTTTATTATATTAAGTACTTAAATGATATGTAGTAGATAAATTTATTCTTAAAATGAATGACATATTTTTTCGCCAAAATAATTCAAAATATGAAATACTAAAAAGTATAACACTTTATATATTTGCACTGATTTGGAATCAGAAAACAGAAGTGCCAAGCTGCAGTTTACTTCTGTATTACTTTTGAAATTAAATTAACAGGATAAAAGAGGATTATTAGGAAAATCTTCTAAATACTCTGACAGAATATAAATAATAGGCTGATTCTTTACAATATATTTAGGAAGATTTGGAAGGACTTAAAGTTATTCTTTACTTATAAGCTAAATCCATACAGAACAGAAAGAAAAAATTATCTCTAATTCAGATTAACCCTAATCCACCAAAGAACTAAAACAAAGATACTTAAATAACTTGTAACACTAAATGAAAAGTACCTACAAATACCAGGGCAAATACCAAGAAACAATGGCAACTTTTGATCTTGTCTACATACAATTCTAAATATACAAAAAAAAATTAAAACTACACTTTAATTATCATTAATGCAATAAATTTTACCAAGAACTTACTAAGTGCAAGGTCCTAGGCCTGGTTCTTTGAGGTAAATAATAAATAGGAAAATATATCTGCCTTCAAGAAGCTTATAATCTACAAAAAAGGAGAAGGCCTATACAGTGTTATGGTCTGTGCACTACAAATATACTATGTCTCAGCAAGACTTCTGAATAGTTTCAGTTAGTAAATGTGTAAACCAGAGATATTCATCTGCCCAACTGGACTGCTTTTCACATAATACAGGGAAAAATTTCCTTTGAGTTTTATAAATTGCAATTCACCAGATACACATATGAGCCTGTTGCTATGCCTGGAGGAAATTTTTACATCATATATTTACATTTAGACTTAAAGTCATGTCCAACTGGTAGAGTTTATGATTTTAAGTGATATGAGGGAAGCCTCCTAGCTGACTAACATTAATCAAGGCTTATTATGCCCTGTGACTCTGATAGTATGACATAAATCTACATTTTGGGGGGGAACCCCTACTTCACTGTTCTTTTTAATATAGTCAATGTACTTTGGGCTGGTTCTCAAGAAGGATAAAGAGGGACACTTAATAACAGTTAAAAGTGGTTATTAAAAGTTGGAAGTCTAGTGTTTGTTTATAGATCAGCATGTTTGAAGGGTACTTAAGCGATCTTTTCATCAGTCCTTACTTGCCAAGGGTTTTGTAATGGGAAAGGCTACAAGAGAACTATGCATAATTACCTTTTCTAAAAGTAAATCCCATGGAATTTTAAAAAGGTTTAAGAGTCACAGACTTAGTTCCAAGTCCCAAGTTTTGGCTTCCATCAGGCAAGGATATAGAGACACAGAGAGGTAAAGAAAGAAAACCCCTTTCTGCCTGTTTGTTAGACATTTGGCTCTGTTTTTTTCCCTAGGTTTCTACTGAATCATGATTCCCAAACATAACTGTAAATACAGCTAGAAATTCAGAGACAGAAGGATGATAAAAATTTTTGCATGTGTTCTTGCCTGGAAAATCCCATGGACAGAGGAACCTGGCAGGCTATACAGTTCATGGGGTCACAAAAGAGTTGGACATGACTTAGTGACTAAACAATAACAACAACAATATATATGCGTACATACATACATACATACATAGAGTATATGAATAATTCATGGTAAAAGCAAGTTTGAAATTCTAATTTTACTAGAACATACTTTAATAGCACCATTACAAACTATGAATTGAGATCAGAAAAATGAAGAGTATGATTTCAACTCACCAAACTGTAATTTCTTCATGACAGCCACATATTTTTCTTCAAGTGATTTCAATACTGATAAAGGTTTGGGTTTCATAGCCACCTTCTTTGAATATTCACCTAGTTTTTTTTCTGTTATTTAATATTTCAAGATAAATTAAATAAGTATACATTTTGAAGAGTAGAACAAAAAAACACTGTATACTTCTAGAGATCAAATTTTGAATGCCAAAAAAAATTACCAAACTCTTCATAATTATCTTTGTATTGTCCCATTTTAAAATTAAAAGATTTCTTTCTATTTCATAAGAATAACTAGTAAGGCTAAAAATCTTATCAACTTTAAAGCTTAAATTCTTAAAATGCTAAAAATATTTTATCCATTCAGGCAAACGTCACAGCAATGAAGCAATAGATGATGCAGAATCACTTATACCTTCCATTGTTAATATGTGAAAATGCCAATTTTAATTTAATGTACTATCTGGTATCTAATACAATTGCATTTTTCAATTTCATAACTTTCAATGGGAAAAAAAGAAATTTATATTGCATGTTGTCAGCCTACTAACAGTCTTAGATACCATATGCAGTAGAGATTAATATTTTAAAATTAGAGACTATTCATAATTAGCTTGGAAATCTGACACAGCAGAATCTTTAGGTAAATAACTTGCTAGAAAACCATTAACAGAGGGAAGAATATGCAGTTTTCAGTAAGTAAATAAAACATCTTTGTATCAAAGGAAATGTAGCAGAAAGGGACTAGTGCTGTACCTTGATTTGCTTGCCGCAAACTGGTAGTGGCTGCATAAACGATCTCAGCAGTCTTCTGAATGTCTGGCACCAAAAGAGTAAGGCCTTCCGGCTCTTGATCAGATGCATCTGGTTTTACTCCTGTTTTAACATTTTCCCTTTTAGATCTGAAAAAGTTTTTTTAATATGGAAAGAAATGCAAGGAAAATTAAGATTTTAGTCTTGAAAAATAAAAACTTCCATAAGTAACAATGGTTAAAAATCAACAAGATATTGTGCATTTCATTTGACATACACATGGTATATACCAGGAGTGGTTCAAATTAGATTCATTTTGAAGTCATAGGATGATGCCTAGCATAATAACTGAAGTTTTGGGTAGGTTGTCTCTTCATATGCAAAAACAGACACAAGTTAAACACAGACACAAGTTAAACACTGTAGAAATATCATACTATAAAAGACCCCAATACCAGTTATGTCCTTTAATTAATACCTTTACAAACACATTTACTGAAACTATATACCTAGAAGTAGAGACATCACTTCTGCATCTAAAAATAACAGATCCCCTGCCTTCTAAGACCTCAGAAACAAAGATCCATAGGTAGTTTTTCATTTTAATACTATTTGTATTTCACTTAAGAGTATATTAATTTCCAAGATGGGGGGAGAAATAGTCCAGAATAAAGTATAAGTTCACTACTAGGTAACTCAATTCACATGTGCTCCTATACACTGAATCTTTCTTTAAACATTAAGTTTTAGAGCATAATCATTTAAAAGATATCTTTCTGTTGCTCTCTATTCAGGGTCTAATACATACTCAACTTAAATTTTCTAGAAGAATGCTGTAGTATTTTATTAACAAGGTTCACTAAAACAGCAACTAAATCAATTTCCTTTTTCTTTCAACTCTCAGAATATTTTATTCAAATCATTACACCACTACTTAGATACGAAAAATCTACATCTTGTTAATTACTTAAATTAAAACAAACTATAATCACATATAAATAAATGTATTTAAAATATTTATGCTAAGGTATGATCTAGACTTTGTATCACTTATTTTTCTAGGTTGTACACCTACTAACAAAAGGATGTGGCTATAAAATAACACTTAACAAAGTAGGCATGGAGCCTTAAAGAATTTCAAAAAAGATTAATAGAAGGTAGAAGAGTCCTTAACAAAATAATATTAAGCAATCTATGTCCAAATGAACTGTTCTTTATCACAAAGACAAAAATCTGTTCAGAAGCAATTCTGTGCTTAACTTTAGGTAGATAATAAGAGGTAAATTAAGAGGAGCCACTCAGGTGGTAAAGGTAAATGGGTTTAGCGTTACATAAGAGCTCTGAACTATCTCCACACTATGTGAAAAAACTAGTACCCACAGCTACTTTTAGTCACAAGGTATATACTATCTCACCTGGCAAGATGATCTGGCTTAAGAACCATAATGTGTCACTGGTTTATTGCCTTTCCTCCTGTGTTCTCCATCTTCCCTGATGTATGCAGGAGTCACAGAGAACACATGGTCAACTGCCTCTCCTCTGCTACTCAGAACCGCTTGGTAGAGTTATGTATATTATGTATCGTTTTCGTCATCAACTTCTGTGTGTAAATGTGTATATGATCATATATGTTAGCATACATATATATAAAGAGAATACAGTGAATGAATGTTTTAAGAGTGAAATAGACATTTTACTTCTAGAGTTAAATAAGATACTGCATCTTACAGCCATGAAGTAAAGTCGGAACTACAGATAAATAATGAGGCCAATAATTTTTTAAATAAAAATGATTCTGGTAGACAAGTTCAAACAGTTTCTCAACTTCTGCATTTATCAATAGCAGTTCACAATCTGTGTGAAACACTGAGAGTCAAGAAAAGCACATAAGTTGATTGACAGGACCCCCTCTGAATTTATACAGACTTTCTTTCTCTTCAACTGTAAATGATTCTCTTCCTGGGACCTAAAAAATTCTTAAGTAGAAGGGCCACTGAACAATATAAGAACAATAATAAGTAGTTTGAGGAAACATAAGACTTGTGGTTATAGCTATAATAAAATAAAGATGGTTTCCTAAATCTATCATCAGTCAGTCCATCCATTAGACTCTCAATAAAGATTTCACTTAAAGAAATGTATCGTGACAAGCAGAGAAGGAAGATTATAGGAGTGAAGCTCTTTTTTCCAGAATTAAGGTACTTTCTCCTTGAAGAAACAAGAACCTCTAGCATGGAGAGTAAACTGCATCAATGCAATTTAGAGCAAGTTACCCTTGGAAAACTGATTCTAAATTTCAAGCCCTATTCATGAATACCAATTACCTAACTCTAGTTTTTAAAGGATGATTAGTAGGAAAAAAATCTCTATTTTTAAAATAGCACAAATAGGATGAAAATTTGGACAACAATATTTTAAAAATATTTTAAAAATAGTGCAAAAGAACACAGCAGTCTTAAAAATAATATTTTTACACCAAATGCATGAAAGAAATAATCATATACATCATGAAGATAAAGGCTGAATCATAAAGCAGACATAATTAGACCTTTACTGCAGGTTCTAATTAAATTTCTCTTATATGGATAGTCTTTTTGACAAAAACATACAGGAGAAAAAGAATAAACTTCAAAAGGTGAAAATATGAAGAACACAAACTACCTACCTAACGATGACTACACTAGTCATTGTCTGACATTTAACTACAGACAGTGATTTCTTTTCTATAAAAGCTGCAGGTTACTGTCAACCCATATGTAGGCCCAGCTCATGAAAAAAGGCCATACCTTAGCTCACATCCTGAAGTCTGTGTGAAAAGCTATTTGAGTTCAAGGCACCTAGCTGGAAGTAGGTCTCTGAGACTGACAATGGATCCAACATGGTAAAAGCAATCAGCGACGGCCGCTACCATGGTATCCGCTGCTTTGTGCATACGTTGAATCTGGTTGTGATCACTGCCCTGAAGAAATACGAGGAATCAACTGAAGTTTTCTACTATTGCAAGAATTATCTGCAAACATTTTCCACTATGCTGTGAATTCCAACTAAACAGCTAAGAAATTAAGCAAATTTTGGCTCTGTGACATATAGTCTAAATTAGGATGTGAGCAGAATGGGCAAATCTTTCTTGTGCAAACAAAAAGAATAACCCCCAAAACTCATCATTCAGTTATATTGGACTGCCTCTGCAAATACTACTACCCAAATTAAGCTGGATATTTGTAAGGCCACAAAATATCAGATTTACGTTCTCTTATAATGTATAAAATGAAAACAGCTTAATATAGCTATTTTCTTGGTTGAACATTGGGGAAGACCACTTCAATCCCCTGCACTCCTAATTCTGAAGTCACAACTATTACATTATTGAAATAAACATTTAAAAAGCAGAGTCACACTGAAGAAGTAATCAGGACACCATATGCTGAAATGTCCAGATTCAAAAGTATTAAGAATTAGCATCTTAGAGGAAGACTCTAAAACTACAAGAGAATAAAACTTCTACATTTACCTTAAAACAATGTGCTATGTCATAGTTCACAGTTCTAAAATTCTTTGCCAAGAATTATAGTTTAAAATAAATAAATAAAAGTAAGTAGAAAGATTTTTTAAAATATTACTGTGGAGAATTATTTGCTTCTTATATCTACAGACAACATGAAAATAATTTTTGAAATGCACCACTAAACTGGACAAAGACCTTTGTAAGATGAATGCTTTCCATATTTTTTAAATTTATTTATTTATTTATTTTTATTAGTTGGAGGCTAATTACTTTACAATATTGTAGTGTGTTTTGTCATACATTGACATCCATACTTTTTTTAAATCTTAGTTTTAAATTCTAGATTCTCTTATTTTTACTTAAATTCTTTCCAAATGGAAGTAACAGTTTTAGGTTTCATTGGAAGTAGAAAATAAAATCTTCTTTGTCTTAACTAAAGCATAAATGAGCAGTAGGAGAGAAGGGACTATTTAAAACAGGGATATGAGAAGCCTTTGAAAATAAAACCTTGACTTCTAGATTAGATAAAAATATAATAATTTTTAGGTCAGACTAAACATCACAGGACAAATAATGATACTGTCTGCTGCTGTGAAATGGAGTTGCCACAAGTAATATGCATCAGCAGGGAACAACCCAAATGAGGCTAAGAAGAGATACTAAAATACGTGTTGGCATTGTTGTCTCCATCACCAAGTAAAAAAGGTTGATGAACCACTGTAAGTTTCATCACTAAAAGAAACCTTTAAAAGAAAAAATATGTGTATATGTGGTTGCAACAAATGTTTTTTGGCTAAGAAATCAGGTCTTTATTTTGTAGGTAGGTTTGAAAGGAAAAAGAAGACACAGGAAATGCTTTTCCAACAAAAACAAAAGTAGGAGGACTGAAACTGAAATTTCTTTCTCAATCAAAGCATTAGAGGAACTAACTTAAAGGAATTAAAATTAGAGAGTTTGATGCCTTAAGAAGTAAATCAATTAATTGTGGGTAAAAAGGAACTGGGGACTTCTACCAGAGAATTCAGTTCTTTTAAAAGAACTGAATGAACTTTGCCCCAGAAGACACTTTGGATAACCAAGAGAATCAAAACTGCTTACTTTCATGCTGTTAAAGTTCAATGTCAAGAACACCTCACATTCAACACAGTCATTCACGTCATATTCTTATTAGCAATTAAGATTATTTGACTGACTATTCTTATTTTTGTTCTCACTAATGCTCAAACTGAGTCTTTTGTTTTATGCTTATGATTCAGTTAGTTGGACCTGAGGAGGAATAAGAACTTTGACAGAAAACAGCAAAATCCTGTAAAATAATTATTCTTCAATAAAAAATAAATTAATAAAAAAAGATTATTTGACTGAAAGTCCTTCTTACTAATTTTTGGTTAAACTATTAAATACTAAATATACAAAATATGATTATTTGTCTATTGGAATCTAGCAGGAAAAGTCTGCACAGAAGATCAAGGACAAAATATTTGTCTTTGCTCCTGATCCTGAAGTGTCACACTTATTCAAAAGTGAAACCAAATAACTACAGCTATACTATGACTTCATTTTGAGATAACAGAGGTTGCAATGGGTAGCGGAAGATGAATTTCACAAAGAACCGTACTTAAAACCTGAAGAGCTCACATCTTT